ATGTGTTTTATAACAGTCTTAATTAAACACAGTTACGATAACCGTGGAGTATTTGATGTGTGGCTACCCTGTGGCTCCTGCAGGAGATAGTTTGCAATTTATTTCATGATACATGTAACAAATTGATGGATTAAAAAATATACCTGTCAGACATATTCAATCATCTTTTCCTTCATCTTTTTCCTAAGTTTAAACTTAAAAACAGATTCCCATTTGATATAGTGGCAGCTAAACTTGAGTTCAAAGATATAGCTTAAATACTGCCATAGCTTGCCTTTTTGCCATACAATGTTGAAAATTAAACCTCATCAACCGCTATGTAAAGATAATTATTAGACCCATTCTGTTGAGTGGCCATCCTTATCTAATTTCAGTAATAAGTATTTCATACTGGCCAAATTGTGTTACCATATACAATCAGAATTCCAAGTTTTTTTAGTCATACAGTGCTGGAAATCCGACCTCATCAACAGGGGGGGTGGGTGCAGATATAAACTGGAATGGCCCAATGTTGTTTCACAAGTTCATATACCACCATATGTATTTTCGTACCATGCTTTGTGCATGGTGTGTTACCGATAAACTTGGCATGACCATTCCATCCAGGAATAACATTCTTGTCAGGAACCAAAACATCACACCAAAAATGTTTTGAAGAATTTGAACAATATATAATTGAGGCAGGGCGGTAGCAATGACCTGTACGTTGCTCAATGTTACTAAGAACATCAATATGTTCTTTGTAATTGATTTTCAACCTCAACTATAAACAACTGAGGAATAATGGTCATTGTATTGGTTACCATCATTTGACCAGGGCACGGGAAAGCAGGAACCTCAACACGATCATCACCTATATTGCCATCTGTAAAATCTGGTATGACTTGATCACACTGATGTTAAAGTTGTTTCTGTTAATAGCTTGTTCGTGACAACACAACCCGAATCCACCAATCCATTACTTCCAACTATTAATTCTCTATTACGTAAAATTAATACAGAATTATTGTGAAATCTTCGTTGCTGGTGGGCTTCATTAATGCTGCAATCAGAGGTTATGTATGTTGCTGCTCACAATAAATCAGATTCAGCTTCATCAGCATTTACAATTAAAAGATCAATTATTTCGGAAATTGCAGTAACCTCCCCAAATTGAAACTTGTCTCTTTATAATTGAAGCCATTTCCAAATCATCAACTGGCTTTCTGATAGTGAGCCCTCTTCTCTTGATGTAAATGCTTTTGATAGCACTTTAGTAGGCTCACTCAAGAGCTGTGCATGACATCGCCTCAATGGATGGTATATTGCTTCGAGGAAGGCATCATGGTGACAAGAATTTGCCATACCACCAGATGCCCACTTATAACGTTCATAATGATCAATAACCTGATCATTTGTTGATTCTAGCTCAAATGATGACATATTCGTAAGTGTTTCTACATCTGAAACATGAAAAGGCATAGTTGCGGTAACCTCCTTTAGGCTAAATCATCTTCTAAACAATGCTTTACAGCTGTTATTTTCTGTGGTTGAATATCCTTGTTTACAACACTATTTAGATCAAGTTTTTCATTATCTACATGAACATCTTCAGTGGGTTTAATCGGTGTAGATGTAACTAACTGTGTATGTGTTGAGTTAAACACAATCTCATTATCGGAATTACATGAACCATTAATTATTGTTACTGATTTATTCCAACAGATTCGTCTGTAAATCCAGTAATATTAATTAGTGATTCAGCATCACTATTACATAATTCCTGGGATATTTGGACTGTCGGATGAAGTGATGAATGTTCACATGGAAGGTTTGAACTACATAAATAAAAATATATAAATTTTAAGGTTAAATCTTAGGCACACATGTAAAATTGAATCAGGGAAGATGTCACTGTTCCTGGATTATTAGTTAATGATGATATATATAGTTAGCTAATGAAAATTACATGCAAGTATGAATGATTTGAAGTGATAGAGCATACACTATTGATTGGTGTAGCTGTCCACATAAAAGTTTCCATGTTTAACTAAGCAGCACCTAGAATAGCTTCACCTGGACTTGAACCAGGGACCTTCAAGTCCAACTGAAATTCTATCACTGGCTTGACGCTCTACCAACTGAGCTACAAAGCCTATACATGTATCTCCTGATACTGCATGATGTCACAGTTCTGGAATATTAAGTAATGATCAACATGATAATTACAATATAACGTATGAATACACAAGTATGTGAAGTTTGAACACAGGTACTGATTTACAGACGTAATAAGGAAAACAACAAGTCACAACTTTTGGAATAGAATTTTGTCAGAATTGAAACTAATAACAAATAAATTATCAATACTCGCCTACTTACTCTGTACAATTCTAATGAATGTTTTGCAAATATAAGTTGAGAACTAAAGTTTGAGTTCTTGTAGCTATTCCACATTTCAAAAGTACACTTGTCTAAGTAGATTTGAAGTCATTTCTTTCTCATTGTGGCAATATTTGAGACTGAAAAAGAAATAGTAAAATTAAGGAATATAATGTAGCTTACTTTTCAATCGATTCAGTATATTATCAAAACTCAGATTTGAATGTGCATAGTCACTGTTAGAATAGAATCAATGCGATTTTCACTACAAATTTCAGACACTGTTCTTGAAAATCATCTCCATCCATTTATAAATGTTCGTCCATGTCCGCATAGCAGAACTGATTAATTCTGACATGCATCAATCCATCAATACTTGACAAGTATCATACTCCGAAATTGCAGAAATGCTTAATTTTAACATTAAAATGACTCCAATTTGGTCATCTTGAACCTGATCGGTGTATTATAAAGTTTCAACTTGATTGGTCAAGGCATGTCAGAGATACAGCTTCTGAACAGCATTTGTCATAAAAATGACCGCCATTGGCCATTTCAAATCCTTTATAGAGTGAACCTGTGCCCCAGTTATCATCAGTTGGCATACACAAGCTAAACATGACAGTTGAGTAACAAAACATCGTTATAGTCTACGCACAGTATCAAACTTTTACACGGTGTGTAAAAGCCAAAAATTAACTAATTATGCAAATTAGTTGATTAATATGCACACATTTTCGGATTGTTCTAGAGCACATATGTACCAATTTTCATTGAAAAGTAATGAAGTAATAGTACTTGAAATTTGATGATTAGAACCTGAGATATCAGTGGAAAAACCGAAAATGTATTTTTACCTTAGACTGATCACATCTGTACATTAGTCCAGAGCATCTATTTACCAAGCTTCATCAAAATCTAATGAATAGCTCTTTAGATATCAGTGGAATAGTCAAGGAACAGCTAAAAATTAGTTAATTAGTATGCAAATCAGGTAATTAATATTTATGGAATGCAACCAAAACCTAATCAAATTTGCACATTAGCACAGAGCATCTATACACCAAGTTTCATTAAAAACCATCATGAGATATCAGTGGAAAGGACAGACCAGACACACACACATACATACAGACAGACAGGGTAACTGCAAAGACTCCACACGGGAGTCAAAAAGTATGCTGTGAAAATACAAGTTAGACCATATTATACTTTTATGTTGAATTCCCTTCTTTGCTGCCTGCCCAAGGGATGGTGGTCTTGACCATAATATTGATGATGCCAGATCCGACAGCCCGAGGGCAGACAACAAAATGTGATATTGCCCGAATAATCATGTTATTTTTTTTATCACATCGAACAGATATCAACCATGCACAATTACATCTACCATACATGACTCACACTCGCTCTCCCACAAAATAACAACACTTATATTTGAAGTAGGCAATATTTTATCTATTATAACAAGTTTCACACTACTTAATAACATACATACATTGTTTGTTGAAAAAAACTGTAAAATACACTCAGTAAATGTTATTTTCAGCCATGTATATTCTTTGAAATGAATTGAGAAATTCTCAAACGCAAGTTATTTGATCAACCTCAAGATAAAAATGCCAGAGTGCCGGGGAAGTAACTGAAATTACTTTTGCACCAAAGTACCACACCTTCTATACACAAGTCCTACATCTTTAGATCGTTTTTGGTTAGCATCAGCGTGGAACGTGTAGAAATGCTCAAAACGTAGAACTTGCCGCAGCAACCCCGGCTGTTGCACATTTTTGCTTCATAACATCAAAATAGAGTATCTTACTTATTCTGGCACGATCCGCTGTCTATTTCGGATGGCTAAAGTTTCTTCAAAACCTTGAAAGCAACCCCGGCCGGGGAAGCACCAGTGCAGCGAACGACAATTTGTTTCAGTGACGTCATCCATGTGATATACCCATGTAATATCCAGTTGGCGGACAATATACCATGTAACATCTATTTTTATTCAATGTCATGTGACCAAGTTTCAACCAATCATAGCAGGCATAACAGCAGTGAGATGTGATAAATGATAATGTGTATTTACTCATATACTGTACAACCTTTAAAATGGACTAATTTAAGATTAATGACCAACATCTGTATTGTTCTAAACATTCAATACCAATCATGTGAAGCTGGATAGAGAATTAAAGCACATAATACTGTTTCATGTTCTCTGCACGTAATAAGCTTGGTTATTAAGCATCCTTTTTTGGGTATGCTTGCATAACAGCTCAGTTACAATGCCTAATTTATTAAATTAATTCCTGTAAATTCACATTGTACTGATGGTTTGTGATTTCAATTTTTGATATCATAAATTCTAAAAAGTTTGGCTTTATGATCAATTTACTGACTGAATTATTATGTTAACATATATTTCATGGCAGAAACATATAAACGCATACTACGATTGAGGAATGGGCGTGTTCTGTAAAGTGGAAACAATATATGGCGGATCTGTTTACAAACATCGTGTA